AAATGGTCTGTCAATAGAAAAGGTTTGACTTCAACACACTCCCAGATAAGGGAGTCAGGATGCAATGACTGGAGATCGAGTGGATTCTCAAACAGTGAAGTCAGTGAAGGAACTCTCAGACAGGAAAGTAAGTACAATCCGGGATTGTACTGGTGGACTGGCACACAAGAGTCACTGCATAGGTGGAGGGGCTTAATGAACTCATTAAACCACTGTTTATTTTACACCCCAAAATAATGCTTGTCACTAGAACCAAGTAAGCAAGGATCACTAGTGGGTGCTGATACTGTCAATCACTAGCTTATCAAGCCAAGACTTTACATAATATAATGAAAAGTTGAATAAAAGATAAGACATCATTAAGCCATTCATTCAAAATAAATCATTTCGATGTACCAGTCAGACTCTTAACCAATCAATAATTGCACTCAAACATTTTCGGCCAGAATGTATATTGGTAGTTTAATTAAGTATAAAGATCTCAATTAGTCAAACACCAGTTTCCTTTTCAAGATGAGTCACAACAAAAAACTACTTGATGTAATGCTAAATGACAACATTTCTTCACCCAGTGTCAATATGATGTGTAGATATTGCACCACCCTTGGTATCAAATTCACACTTTATTGTGGAAGGCAATTATTAAGCAAAGATTAAACTTTAAGAGGACTACAAGGTGTCAGTGAATATAACAGCATTGAGTCCTGCTACACAGAAACCATGGAGGGTTTGTTCTTCAGTGGAATACTTCACACCTTACAACTGTCAGGCCATCATCGCGGCAGATATTTAACTGGTGATTATCTCCATCCTTTAACTCCCAATCCAAATCCATCTAATCCACCTGTCTCCTTCTTTATCAGATTAACGGGACCTGTTTCATAGAAACAGATCTGGTTACGGCTACAAATCTGGCGACAAAATCTGTATGCGGGATGGTGTTGATATCCTATCTTTTCAAAATGACCACATTTATAACATTGTTCAACTTTATAGTGTACCACCCTGATAATTAATGTGTTACCTGATGAAACAGAATCTTCAAAAGCAATTTTCAATTTTGATATTGATATCAAACGAATGACTACTTTAACCACATTCATGAAGTGTGTAATTACTCTCATTTGATGAGATATCAAAGAAGGTTTTCCTGCTATCAACACTCATATCAACTATTCCAGAATAAAATTGTAACACCCTTGGGGTGCACGTGAGAAAACAAATAACACAAGGAGACGGTGAAGTAGAGAGCAAAGTTTGCCATGATATATGCAAACTTTGTTTTAATTTTGTTTCAATGGCAAGAATGTAGATGGGATTTTGTTAGCAATGCAATAAAATAAATGATGCCAATAAATATCACACACTACTCGGCCTATATATATCTATATCTAATGACAAGGCTCAGTCTCCAAGGAAATAGTTATTTTGTTATTTCAACTCAAATTTTCATCCAGAAATGTTACTGAGTATGTAATATAGTTATTAAATTGATTGTAATTTGACTTAAAATATATACCTAGAAGCAGTTATGATGATAAATCTAAGTCAGTAGAGGTGCCAGGTAAAAACTAGAGCAGGAGCCTTTAATCAGACCGTAAGTCTTATTGTATCTAAATCGAGTGACCCGGGTGAATCGAATCCGAATGCGAATCCGAATCGAGTGTGTCAGGCCTTGACCCGTGATCGTATTTATAGGCATCATCAGGAGGTCATGTGACCTTTCTCAACCAATCAGAACACAGGTTTGATGGCTTGTATACAAGAAACGCTGCATAGGCAGTTTCATTTCTAACACAAGTAAGTGACTACTAATTGTCCTTATGTTGTCCTTCTTGTCCGAATACAATTAGGACACAGTAGAAATAATCAGGACATTGAGACAGTTTGTTATAATAAAACGGACAATATCTTTCCGTCAACGTAGCATCAGTGGCCACCATCTTGGTTGATCGTCGGCTCTATGACAAGTGAAATTTACAAAAGCATCAGTTTCCTTTATCATATGGTATTGTCCTTATGTTAAATAAAGTGTCCGAAAAGATCAACCATGATGGACAAGTGAGATGTGTGTAAACATGTGATATAACAAGAATAAGGACAACGATTATATTCAGGCCAAGCGGCGGGGCGACATTTTGACAGGCGTCAAATGTATACTAAGACCATTGACAACTTTGGCCCAGTGTAGCATCAATATGCCCTGTATCCAGGAATTGATGTTGTCCTATGTGTCCTTTAACAATTAGGACACGAACAAGTTTGCTAAAATATTTGGTAAATGCAAACAGAGAAAACGGACAGCAGACTGTCAATTAGTGCCTAGAATGATTGTCGGCAACAAATGTCAAAAACACGAAGCGACTGTCATATTGCAGGTACAAATGTAGGAAATACAGGTGGTTATACATTGTCCTCTATATCGTAAAAGCAAGGCATTTCTACCATAGAATGCAGAAAAATACCAGATAATGAATATGTGGCTTTGATATAAAAGCGGACATCAATTTATAATTAGTCACTCAGCCTAACGTAAATGTTGTTGACAGGTCACCGTAAACCGAGAAATGTCAAACAGATCAAATTCGTTATTCAGTTCGATCAAGTGTAATTTTCATTAGTATCCATCATGGAATACACTTTAAAACACTTCTGAGCAAGAAAGTTATCAGAAAATCGTCATTAACAAGTGTAATAAGTCATTGTTTATCTGGGTCAAAAGTCACACTTACTTTCTATAAATAGCCACGAAGCAGGAGTGTACACAAGAAATAGTCCCTGACAAACATCGGTGCTAACACTCAAAATACACAATGATTCAAGACAGTGAATAAATATATCATTTGGAGACATGAAATACACAAGTCTGTACAATAATAGTACACAATGACATCAGTAGTAGAATCCTTCATGGATGTACATAGCGTAGTGACACACAGTGGTAATTAGGTCATGTCTGACAAGTGCTGCTACCGCGAACGTTCAGTGCTTGATAAAACAACTATCAACAGTGAATATGCCCCCTTAAAGATGCCTCAGATCTGTGAACTTCAGAACCAGGTAACTGTCTATGATGTTGTTAGGTTATTATTTACTTTAATGTTAAAAATATGGATGGACAATTGCAGATAGATCGTGATATAACGAAAATAGGTGACACTTATGATTGACAAAGTTTACATGATGTTTTTAATACTTATTCTATATCAATTTAGATTCTATTACACTATGTGCTAAGTCATCCTTGAAACTGGAAAAACACATCAGGGCTCATTTTCAATTTTGCAAACAAATGAAGGTAATATAACCAACAAACGTGTCAATGTACTGTCATAATTTCAACATCACAACAGATATTACTACAATGACACAGCTGTTGTTCTCGGGAAGGGCAATTCTCTCCCAAGGGCATTCTGATACCCACAATTAAGCTGGTACGCTGCAAGTTATGTTAGGGACTTGAGCCTCTGTCACATTATATTTCAACAAAAGTGACTACCATATTTATGCCTCCCAAAGATCAACAATGAAGCCAGGGCTTGATTTAAGAGATGTTAACCTACTTGCACTAGGTGCAACCTAAGATAAAAACCTAGTTGCACCAGCCAAATTTCAGTGTGCACTGCTTTTATTGCAATATGTAATGAAAGAAATATGCTATTGAATTATTCAAAGTTTTGAAGAAAAATGACCTGACGTAATTGTGCATGTAATGTTAGATTAATTGTTTATTTATTTCTAAAAAATTGACTTGTACCTGGTGCAAGTTAGACAAATAACTAGGTTGCACTTTGTAATATTGGGTTGCACCAATGCAAGTAACAAAGCACAAAATCGAGCCCTGGAAGCTGAATTGTTCTGTTTCTAAGCACCGATGTCACAGTTGGTAATGATACTAAACATCAGCACAACATGGACATGGACAACCTCCCCCACCCAGCTGGATACGCTGGATATACAACAGGGTATACATAGTCTGTCTCGCAGTCCCTGAACCATAATATTTTCCCTACAGCTTAGCATTCCCTGCAATGCTAAAGCCCTAAATGAAGCAAGTTTAGATTTCCCCAGAGAATCTCTGGTCTCCCTGGGTCTTCTTTACAATTTAAATGGGTTTATTTGCTACAATCAAAATTATATATATTCAGAGACTAAACGTTAGTCTAGGATATATGGTGAGCAGGGATATTGGGTGACCGAATGTCACAGCCCATTGCTCTACTGCTGCCATCCTGCTGTCAAACTGGATGGGTGGACCGCACAGACAGGCTGTAAGCAATGCCTGGACCACTAGCAGGGAGGGATAATCGAGACCATGTTTGTTTGCCAAGAGTTGGAAGTGTTTTCTCAAGTCTGAAGGTGAAGGAGCTAAGATAGAACTACAACCTCTACTGATGGGGTGTGTGGTTGGACCAGTTGTTTCCATTTTCAAACATAAGCTCAATCTGCATACATAGGGGGCACTGCAGAATATTAGGATTATAACTTTCTTGGAAAAGATAAAACTCCAAACAAGCTAAGTATGATAGAGTTACACAATGTAACACTGATAGTCAGCTTGGTGGTAACGAAAACTTATGACTTTATATGAAAATGAATGTAATACATGTACCATATATCAGTTTGTGATATGAGTGAGTATATTTAAGTTAGCAATGTAACAGACAGATCACAGCAAGCTTCAAGTGAGTGAGTAATGTTGATTTATACTGTGGCTACAACACTGGAACAATCTATGCAGCCTGTTGTTGAATCTGTACCGGACAAGGCAAGGAGTGGTTGTATGTACTGCATGTACCCATTTACTGCTGGATGAATAGAGGCATATTTCATGTACATAAATTAATCATTATAATCATAATTAATCATTATACTCCTTAAACAGTTAATATAAAAATAAAATATTAACCTGATCTTCAGGGATCAAGTTTGATAACTACAATCAAACATTTAACATTTTTAACAAAGTAAATACATAAAACAACGTGGGACTGTCTTACCTCAATAAAGTTTGCTAGCAGTGCACAGCTCAGCTCTTGTTCCAATATGTGTCGATTTGATTGGCTGTTGAAGCAGCAAGAAATAAGGGTGGGAAACAGGACATTGGTCAGTCGCGGGTCGCTGAAGTACTGGAACGGCAGTGCGCACAACTGCTGCAACACCGTGGGAGGCTGGCCGGACTGGACAAACATCTGAAACAAATGTCATTGTTTACAATGATAGTCGCAAAATGTCAATATTCCCCTACAGCCATACTTTCAACCACTGGTTTGAATATTTTCAGTGAGTGAGTTTAGTTTTACGCTCGTTTAGCAATATTCCAGCAATATCACAACAGGGTCACCAGAAATGGGCTTCACACATTGTACCCATGTGAGGAATCAAACCCAGGTCTTCAGGGTGACATGCAAACAATTTAACCACTAGGCTACCCCACCACCCCTACTTTTACAAGACCTGCAATAATATACTGCTTACTACATATGCTCATTCTCCAGCAGAAGCAACCAGGTTTACTCAGTCATCCTACTCTGATGGAGATTGAACATTCCCTGCTCCAGGCCTGACGAGTAACTACACTGTCCTGGCCAATGTGGTTACATTGCTACAAAACTACATATACAGGAGTAAAACAAAAACATCATTTAATCGTTTCTCACTTAAACGATACGGCTGATCAGAGTTTGCCTTGGACACAGAGGTGAGAGAGAATAAAGATTTCTTTATGCCAGTCTGCAATCCACAGACTGACAGCATGAGCTACAATTCATGCCAGCACAGCACCAATCAGCCATTCTGACTATCCAATCCCCATTTGTCAGCTCTACTGACAAACACTGGGTAATGAAGACACGGTCTGCACTCAAATCCCCACAGGGAATATCTTATGAAAATGGGGACAAATGTTCCATAATGACATTGGAGTGGGATTTTAAAGGTCCTAACCAATGTCCTTGCATAAATCTGCATAACTCTGTAGATGCAAACTTCCTCATGTTCCAGATTAGCTTGTGGATTAGAATTGACACCCCATCAGATATGAGAGATGATGGCAGCACATGTTGGACAACTTCAATGCCAGGCAATGGAAGGCCTACCTCAGACACTAACTCCAGATGTGATAAGCAAGACATTTATAAACAAAACCTTCTGATAGTAAAACAATACCTGACTGAAAACAACATGAAAGCATAATCTTCAAGATTACCTCCCACCTGAGATGTAATTATTCTGAAAACATCATTTCTAACTTACAGATTTCTTTCCCAGCACTACTCTCTCAGTGTGGTTGTTTGGCTTACCGATTTCCTCATAAAGCCCAAAACAAAAGATATACTTTTGGGTACTCAGCTATTTGAACGTTTTCAACATAATTTTACTGACTGATCAGTGTTAAAAAGTAAAAAGGGTCCGGTGGTCTATGGGTTTTGCTGATTCAGCATTATATTCTCAGGGTCTCCAAGGGTTCAGAAATGAACCCCTTGACCTTTAATGATTGTTTACACTCCAAAGTACTGAAACTGAATCTTTGCAGACAAATTAACAAACTTAGATGTTGAAATAATAACTAAACACCCATAATACAATTTCTCTGTGAAAAATGGTTTTAAATATATTTTCAGGTATCTAGCCTATAAATACTACTGGTCTCTGCAGTTAGCACACAAGAGGAGACTCCATACCATGTATGCTATACAAGACTATCACTAACACTGTCAAAAATCAACCCAAGCTCCGGTACTGGCACAGGATACATTATGAGGATAGCTGTGTGAGACAACTAAAGCACAGAACTTCGACTGTGAGTCCCAACAGAATTCTGCTATTGTCTACCGAGCCCAGAGGTGATAAGAAACTCGTCATGGGCCAGTTTCCTGTTACAGGATATTTTGATAAGCTCAAAAATTAATAAAGCCGAGTCGAGGGACCAAGCACTGGCTCTCTGATACCCTGATCTTCGAGGAACCGGCAGCCAGATAGTCCCCCTGAGACCCCCATGCAATTTATCTTCCATTCAGTGGTCAATTGATTTCATCTCTCAACTTGATCATCTTTCAAAATAAATGAAACACAGATCATTTGTGGATACTGCCAATGCCTTTTGTCTGGTAGCAAAACAAAGAATTAAAGTGCAGTTGGGAAGCCATCAGTCGATTCTGTACCATGAAAACAATGTGCTAAGTGTCTGGGCCACACTGTCAAGGAGAGACTGGTTCAATATATCACTGCACACAAAAGTATCAGGGACACATCTTGAAGCCAACTTGACACTGGAGTATCTCGCATTTATTCAGGTCCATTATTTAGCAGTCAACAAATTGGAATGCTTTTGGATAGCTGACCTCACTAAATGTTCTGTGGCAATAAATATCTGTCTTTTACCGTTTTTCAAACGGTACTAGTAAAAGCAATTTGATACAGATGGTGAGATTGTAATACAATACGTATTTAAACCAATATTTCAATCTTTACAGAAAGAGGAAGCCTGATATACCAAGTCTCAGGACATTTTCAATGTATTGCAAGATAGCATCATATAACATATTAATGAAAGAATGATGCCATAAGAGTCAGCTATGATCTATGTGAGGAACAGTATACTTCCCTTCAGGTGCATAATTTGTAAGCCTAACTATAGAAAAATCTGGCTTGACAATTACACTTGTTACATTTTAACTATATTTTATTTACAAATTCAGTTTTATCACAAAATAAATAACCCCAGAGAATCAAAGTGTATATAGGATAATACAAAGCTTTATTTTCTGTTTGGTATACATGTATGTATGAAGAGACTATCCAACCAATAGAACAAACTATGACAGACTCACTCACTCACTCAAACACTCACACACAGACAGACATACAGACACTCCGGTAGATGTGTTACAAGTCAATACACATTTATCATTAGATCAAGACCACAAAAATTAGATTTTGTTCTTAAATAGTTGGGCAATCAAAACTCCTCCCATTAACCTATGGAGAGGCTGGGAAGTATCTCTTCAACATCCTCATCAAGACATTGACAGTAACTGCAGAAGTAGGAGAAGTGAGTTTTATTGAGCCAAAACAATTAGAATTGTTTTTCACCTACCTTTAAAATGTCAACAGCTCTTAGTTGGGAGCCTTTTACATAAAAAATGATTTATCTAGAGGTTTTTCAAGTTGAGTCAGTATTGCAGAGACTTTAACCTTATTACACAAAATCCATGACTTTTCCTTTTCATAATAACCGTAAGAGGAGCTGGCAGTGAGGTAGCCAAGTAGCTGAAGAATAGCCTGTTACACAAAAACATGTACTAAGCAAAATACTATGCTAGAATACTGGCTTTAATCTAATTCACTCGCTCCCTCCATTCCTCCCTCACCCACCGACCGACCGACCCACCCACCCACCCACCGACCGAAAGACCTACCCACCTCACTCACTCACTCCAGGAGAGAATTCTGGCTAGTTATAATTCTGACATAATATAGCTTCTGATGACAAGATCATCTTTACGTATTTGACAGATGAAGTCCCTGGATAAGAATAAGGCCATAACCATGTCTTTTCTAAAGAAGCTACTATGCCTATGTGATTAAGTATTTTCCGTTTTTGCTGCAGACCTACATCATGAACGTCACTAGAACCTTCTGCAGATCACTTCATTAAATGATGTCAGATTCTTCAATTATCAAATATCTTCCATGACCAAATTGTTTAAAATCATAAAGGTATCATGATATTTGAATGAAACATGTGAATTATTGTGTATTCTAGTGCTTTCAATGTTATTGACGTATGAGCCAATCAATACTAGTATAGGGGTGGGTATTGCAGAGAATTTTCATATTGCGATTTATTGCGATGCGAAAGCATGTATTGCGATATGTATTGCAATATATATTGCAAGAAGTATTTTTAAACAAAAAACTACTTATAATCGAGGTAATGCTTGATTTATAGAGCAAATACACAGCAAAATCACTATGTTTGTTTAAGCTTTAATAACAACTTTTATTCATGATTAAAAAGAAAAATGTGAATAAATATTTGGCACAAATGAAAAAAGGAAATATCCGAAGATTTCCGAGTGTTACGAAGTTTTCCGAATGCAAGTCAAAATACCGGTTTTAGATCAGCGTATTGCAATACGTATCGTTTTCATGTCTGAACCGGTAAATACCGGTAAACCGGTTATATTGCTCAGCCCTACAATATGGTAGTGAAGATTTTTGAAGAAGATTAATATACACGCTACATATTTAAGATATCAATAAAACCAAGACAACATAATAATTGCCATGCAGGTGCAGAACGTTAACGGAGGAATAGAAGGAATAAAGTCTGAATTTTGTCTATATGCGTCAATTTCAATGTTCATCACATTTGAACTCATGACATCATAGCAGTGCAATAATGTCTCAGATAAGGAACGGACCGATGCAAAACGCATTCACTTTCAAGCAAACTCCCATAAATTTGGAATAAATGTACTGTTTCTTTGACAATTTGATGCTTTGCCTATGAATCTCAACTCCTTCACTTCATAATGGCAACTGACGGACAACAATGTTGTTACACCATGCACAAGCAGGTCTGCTTAAATTACAGAGTAAATGTAACCCACACAAGCAGCCATCCTCACCAGATATGTGCACGATTTTCAACAAGCAGTTTTTAAACATTTTCCAAATTTCTGCTCCCAAAAGATTGTCAAGCTGACTTGATACACATAGATATCTTAACATATTGTATGTGTGACCTGTTCTTACATTGTGTGTATGTGTATTTATTCAATGCTTACAGTGCACCTTCATCTAATGAAATATTTTCTGCCAAAGCAAATGTCAGTCTAAGATCAAGGGTGTAAATTCTTCTGGAAGCAGTAAGTCCTTCAACATTCCTACTTATCTACATCACACCACAAATATCAGCATTGTCACTCATACTCTTAAACTGTGTTCTTATAAAACAAACCGTACACAGATCTCTCTACCAAGCACCAGGATTGCTCAAATAAATTGGTACAAGACTCTTTAACAGCTACTTCACACAGAATCCCTATTTTGTTATTGAACAGATCTTCCAAACACAAAACACTAATTAACAAAAGGTAATTTGAAATGTTTATCTTAAAATAACAACCATTCCAAGTTGCTTCAATTTATGTGAAAAAATACGGGTGAAAAAACACTAAAGTAA